TCCATACCAGAACCTTATCCGAGCAAGCAGCCCGGCAGGTCAGGAAAGGGGGGGGGGGAGACGAGCGAGTGCCCCCCCTCCTGAACCATACCAGGCCACATGCCCTCCACATGGGGGGTGCTTTGGGGCAGGGGGGGCTCCAGCTGGCCCCGCCCCTTACCTAAGAACTGTCAGACTGTCTCCTGCATAAAGCTGGTTAGCCTCAGTGGAGAGACAGGGTGACAGTTCTTAAATAGGTAAGGGGCGGGGCTAACCGGGGACATCATCCGAGTGACCCCGCCCCATGTCACATGGGGCGAGGTCACTCGGATGATGTCCCCGGCTGTTTTTTTTTTTTTACATTTCGGCATGGAGTTACCCCTTAATATCCATTACAGACCTGAAGGGCTTGGTATGGATGGGAGGGGGGACCCCACGCTGTTTTTTTTATTATTCATTTAATAAAGGAAATTATTTTACATTCAGCTGTCAGTGGGGAACCCCGCTGACAGCTGAAACATTAACACAAGGTTGTCGCTCCTAAACTCCAGCATGAGTTATTTTATCAACTCATGCGGCATTTTAGTAGTGAAAACCAATGCAGCATTCATGTTTCAGCTGTCGGCGGAATTCCCCACTGACAGCTGAATGTAAAAGTATTGCTGGGAATTAAAAAAAAAAAAAAAACAGCTTGGGTTCCCCCCTCGCATCCATACCAAGCCCTTTGGGTCTGGTATGGATGTTAAGGGGTAACTCCACGCCGAAATTAAATAAACAGGGTGGAGTCCCCCCCCAAAATCCATAGCAGACCCTTATCCGAGCATGCAGCCCAGCAGGTCAGGTTTCTTATATAGGTAAGAGGCGGGGCCAGCTGGTGACAGCAAGCATGTGATCCTACCCCATGTGACATCAATGATGTCACATGGGGCGGGAACACTCGGATGATGTCCCCGGTTGGCCCCGCCACTTACCTATATAAGAAATGTGAGGGAGACTGACTGCATAAGGCTGGTGAGCCTCGTCGAGTGCGGAACAGTTTTTCTTTTTTTTGGGGCGCCGTGACATCGTGATTGACATTGGATCTACTTCGGAGTACATTGCATTATTAAAGGACTTGTCAAAGACCCTGTACTGTGTTTTTTTTACACTACACTTTTGCTTTTTTTGTGAATTAGTAGCGGTACCATATACCGCAGACTCATTCAAGTAGGGGGGGGGCGGGATCTGGGGGCCCCCTTGTTAAAGGGGGCTTCCAGATTCTGATAAGCCCCCCACCTGCAGACCCCCACAACCATCGGCCAGGGTTGTAAGGAAGAGGCCCTTGTCCCCATCAACATGGGGACAAGGTGCTTTGGGGGGGAGCCCCCCTGCCCAAAAGCACCCCCCCATGTTGAGGGCATGTGGCCTGGTATGGTTCAGGAGGGGGGGCGCTTGCTCGCCCCCCCTTTCCTGACCTGCTGGGCTGCATGCTCGGATATGGGTATGGTATGGATTTTGGGGGGGACTCCATGCTGTTTTTTTTTTTTTTTATTTCAGCATGGAGTTACCCCTTAATATCCATACCAGATGCAAAGAGCTTGGTATGGATGGAAGGGGGGACCTCACGCTGTTTTTTTTTAATTATTTATTTAATTCACGGAAATTATTTAAAATTTAGCTGTCAGTGGGGAACCCCGATGACAGCTGAAACATTACTTCTGTCCCTGCAGAGAGCTCCGCTATTATATTTGACATTAAAAAGTATAGAGGATGCAACATTGTATCTATTTTTATCCGTTTCGGATATAGATGTTTGTATTCGGATACAAATAGATATAATGTTGCAACCTCTATACTTTTTAATGTCAAATATAATAGCACAGCTCTCTGCAGGACAGAAGTAATTACTTCGCTATTATATTTGCCGCCGTAGATGGGGCAAAAATCGGACAATTTTTTTACTGTTGGTGGTAACGTCGGCCGATTGAACAACCAATTTTTGGGGGTTTTTTGGGGGTTTTTTTTTAAATGCCAGTTTTCGCCCCATCTATGGCCTGCATTTTTCTTTTTCTTCTTTTTCTTCTTCTTTTTTTTATTCTTCTTTTTCATTTTCTTCTTTTTCTTGCAGGTCACAGCTCATGCACAGATTTTTTATGGGTAAAAAGATCGGCCAATTTGTCGATCATTGCTGCTAAAATTGGTCGGTCTGCAAAATCGGCCGATTTTTTTATTCAAATTTATCGATAAAAAAAGTGGCAAAATCCCGAAAAATGGCCGACCAATTAACCCACTAACGGGCCAAAAAAATCGGCCGATTTTTTTTATCCAAATTTACCGATAAAAAACAAGTGCCAAAATTTAAAAAAACGGCCAACCAATTAAACCGATTTTTTTTTTCGGCCAATTTTAGACCCATCTAAAGCAGGCCATAGATGGGTCTAAAATCGGCCAATTTTTCAGCCGAAAAAAAAATCAGACGATTTTCAGGCCGTTAATGGGTTAATTGGTCAGCCATTTTTCGGGATTTTGGCACATTTTTTTATCAGTAAATTTGGAAAAAAAATCAGCCGATTTTGCCGATCATTGCTGCGAAAATTGGCCGATCAGCAAAAACTTTTCCAACTTTACCGATAAACAAAATGTGCCAAAATCCCGAAAAATGTCCCACTAACGAAACAAATTAACATGGGGGCAAGGTGCTTTGGGGGGAGCCCCCTGCCCCAAAGCACCCCCCCATTTTGAGGGCATGTGGCCTGGTATGGTTCAGGAGGGGGGGTGCACACTCGCCCCCCCCTTCCCCACTTGCCAGGCTGCATGCTGGGATAAGGGTCTGGTATGGATTTTGGGGGGAACCCCACGCTGTTTTTTATTTAATTTCGGCATGGAGTTACCCCTTAATATCCATACCAGACCCGACTTTTGAAATTGTGCTGCAGCAAATCGCTTACATTAAGACACTCACATTCACATTCATTAGATCGGATATCAGGTACAATTTCAATTCCCAAATCGCACCTGAAATCGTGCACCCTGGAGGCGACTTGGCATGCGATTTGCATGGCATGCGACTTGCAAATCATATGCCAAGTCACACCCTATTGTCTGCTATTAGAGCAGTCACATGGGTGCGTTTCCAACACTGATTTCTAAAGTAGTACATGTACTACTTTTGTGACGATTTGCATAGATATCTGTGTCAGATTTCTTGCAAATCGTAAGGAAATCAGCATCTTCACTGTACGTCACACAATTTCTAAATCGGCTTTGATGTGACCAGGGTGTAAAGCCTTTTTTGTTTGATTTCCTGAGTGTTTTTCTGATTTATGGGAAATGCCGCATACTAGCAAAAGTGAATTGACACTTTCAGTATTGCATGCGAGATGTGGTCATGTGACTGCCTTAACTCATGCGATAATCTGGAGTGAATTGTGCCCATAGGGCCAAGAAATATTGCCAATAGGGTTCCCTTTTACATTCCTGTTCAATGTTCTGTTGTATGCTGCACAGGTACACTTAACTGTGGCTTTCTTTCTGACTCTGATTTGTGGGGCCTGTATGCCAAGGGTTAACACAGGTGGGAAGAGAATTAATCAGGTGCAAACACTTTCTCTGACCAAATGAATGACAGTGGTGGGTGTGGCCTACCTTATATAAGGAGATGCATTATGGCTGATTTTTGCCTTGTACAGGCCACATTATTTTCTGCAAGTCCTTGTCTGTGGTGGTGTCAGGAATGGACTTACCAGTAATGGTGGGACTCACCTGCCTTGTGGGCTGCAGTACCAGGGCTGGCCAGCGGGTGCTCTCAGCAATCAGAGACTCAACCCTGCAGTCAGCCAAACACCTGAGGCTGATTGCAGGTGTATTTAAGGGATGGCCAGACCAGCAGTCTGTGCCTTGGTGTGTGTTTTTCCATGGGCCCCTGTATCTGCATTCCTGTTTCTGTTCCTGCCTGACTGACTCGTTGCCGACCCTGCCTGATCCTGACCTCTGCTGACTTCTCCTGTTTGATCCCTGGCTTGTGACCCCGACCATTCTCTGCCTGACCCCCTGTACCTACCTGCCCGTTAGTTGCTGTACCCGGCTCGTGACCTGACTACTCTCTGCCTGCTCCTCCTGTTCCTACCTGCCAGATTGTTATTGACTACGCTTGCATTGTATGTATTGTTATCTGTGGGTGGTTTGGTTTGTTTGCACTGTGTTTATGTTTTAGTATTGCACTGCGTTTTGTATTGTTAGTATTAATAAATTATATTGTTTATAACATATCTGAAGCCTGCGTTTCCCTGCGTCAGTTCACATACCTCTGGTCATACCTGGAGCCCTGACATTACACCAAGGCCTATCCTGACCAGAAGTGGCTGCACAGGGAAGCCATCTTGGCTTGTTGCTGGGAAGGATGGATCTTGATGAGGTTGTGTATTTGTCGCTGCTGGTTTTTGATGACAGGGATTATGCTTATCAGACTCTGAGGGAGTATACCCGGGATCAACTGCTAGAATGTATACGGATCGCTCATGTTCTAGTAGATCAGGGCACAGAGTTCTCTGAGGTCCAACCTTTGATTCAGGTTTGTGTAGAGTTGGCTTCATCTGGTACCCCTGAAAGCAGGAATGACTTTTTGCCACCCTTTAGTGCAGACCAGGTAGAGTCCCTGGTATGGTTATTAGAGGATGATGTGGATTGCTTCTTGGAGCATTATGCTGCATGTTCACCACAGGTATTAAGGGATTGTATAAACTCAGTGCAGTCTTTGACCCGACAGGCTTTGTGTAAGCTCAGCTTTGTTCAACCCATACTGCAGATATGGTCAGACTTGTTGCACCCAGCCTCAGTCAGCTTGCAACGTCATTCCTCTGCTCAAGGCACTCTTCCTGCATCCCCGACAGCACCCCCCAGTGACGGCCCAGTATACTCTGCTAACTACCACATACCAGTCCCCTGCTCCCACTCGCTGCACCTATCCTTTCTTTGGCCCTGTGGAGAGGTCCTCTGTGGTGGCTGCTCCCTCCTCTGTTCCATCTTCCAGCTCTTCTCTGTCCTCAGCTGCTCCATTCATTTGCAGACCTGTGTTTACTTGCAGTGCTTCAGTAGTTAAAACCAGAAAAAAGCGAAAATTCTTTCCAACCAGTACCATCCTGCCAGTATCCAAACCGGTGAGCCTGCCGTCTGAGAACCTGCCTTCCGTGGTTCAGCCTGGTGCCTCGGCACCCGCACTTCAGCCTGATGTCTCTACCCAGCCTGATGTCTGTACCCAGCCTGATGAACTGATAAAACTGAGGATCCTATCAAGCCTGATGACCAGTGCCCGCGGTCATACCTGGTGACCCGATGCCCGCTGTCGAGCCAGACAATCCAATGCCTGATGACCCAGTGCCCGCTGTCATGCCTGGTGACCCAATGCCCGCTGTCGAGCCAGACGATCTGGTACCTGATGACCCGGTGCCCGCTGTCATACCTGGTGACCCGATGCCCGCTGTCGAACCAGATGATCCAATGCCTGATGACCCAGTGCCCGCTGTCATGCCTGGTGACCCGATGCCCGCTGTCGAGCCAGACGATCCAATGCCTGATGACCCGGTGCCCGCTGTCGATCCAGACGATCCGGTACCTGATGACCCGGTGCCCGCTGTCATGCCTGGTGACCCGATGCCGCTGTCGAGCCAGACGATCCAATGCCTGATGACCCAGTGCCCGCTGTCATGCCTGGTGACCCGATGCCCGCTGTCGAGCCAGACGATCCAGCGCCAGATGACCCGGTGCCTGCTGTCGAGCCAGACGATCCGGTATCTGATGACCCGGTGCCCGCTGTCGTGCCAATTGACTCAGAGACCACTGTCGTGCCTGGTGATTCGGTGCCCACTGCCTTGCCAGATGACGTGGTTCCCGCTGTCGAGCCAAATGACCTGATGCCTGGTGACCCAATGCCCGCTGTCGAGCCAGACGATACAATGTCTGACCCAGTGCCCGCGGTCATGCCAGTTGACTTGGAGCCCACTGTTGTGCCTGGTGACTCGGTGCCCACTGCCTTGCCAGATGACGCGGTGCCCGCTGGCGAGCCAAATGATCTGATGCCTGGTGACCCGATGCCCGCTGTCGTGCCTGATGACCCGGTGCCCGCCGCTCCGCCTGGGGCCCAGTGCCTGCCGCCCTGCCTGGGGGCCCTGTGCCTGCCGCTCCTCCTGGGGGCCCGGTGCCCACCGCTCTGCCTGGGGGCCCAATGCCTGTCGCTCCACCTGGGGCCCGGTGCCTGCTGCCCCGCCTGGTGGCCGGTGCCTGCTGCCCCGCCTGGTGGCCCGGTGCCTGCTGCCCCGCCTGGTGACCCGGTGCCTGCTGCTCCGCCTGGTGCCCAGTGCCTGCTGCTCCGCCTGGTGCCCGGTGCCTGCTGCTCCGCCTGGTGATCCGGTGCCTGCTGCTCCGCCCTGGTGATCCGGTGTCCAGCCTGATGTGCCTCTGTCTGGTGTCCAGCCCGATGTGCCTCTGTCCGGTGTCCAGCCCGATGTGCCTCTGCCCGGAGTCCAACCCGATGTGCCTCTGCCCGGAGTCCAGCCCGATGTGCCTCTGCCCGGAGTCCAGCCCGATGTGCCTCTGCCCGGAGTCCAGCCCGATGTGCCAGTCTTTGATATCCCGCTAATTACCAGACCCGAGTGGTGGAACAATTTGCCCAGCTAGGACTGTTTGGAGCGTCCTGAGGCCGCTCCTTGAGGGGGGGTACTGTCAGGAATGGACTTGCCTGAGGCTGATTGCAGGTGTATTTAAGGGATGGCCAGACCTGCAGTCTGTGCCTTGATGTGTGTTTTTTCATGGGCCCCTGTATCTTGTTACCTGCATTCCTGTTTCTGTTCCTGCCTGACTGACTCGTTGCCGACCCTGCCTGATCCTGACCTCTGCTGACTTCTCCTGTTTGATCCCTGGCTTGTGACCCCGACCATTCTCTGCCTGACCCCCTGTACCTACCTGCCCATTAGTTGCTGTACCTGGCTCGTGACCTGACTACTCTCTGCCTGCTCCTCGTGTTCCTACCTGCCTGATTGTTATTGACCCGGCCTGCCTGACTACGCTTGCATTGTATGTATTGTTATCTGTGGGTGGTTTGGTTTGGTTCGTTTGCACTGTGTTTATGTTTTAGTATTGCACTGCATTTTGTATTGTTAGTATTAATAAATTATATTGTTTATAACATATCTGAAGCCTGCGTTTCCCTGCGTCAGTTCACATACCTCTGGTCATACCTGGAGCCCTGACAGGTGGTTTGGAGAGGAAGAGATATTGTGGTGAATTTCCCCTGGCCACACTCATGCTGTGTTTTGTTGTGGGCTGTAAATGTTTTGCATGTTCTTCCTTCTAAGTTGGGTTTTTGTGTGTTATTGTACAATGATTGTGTGTTTATTATCTTTGCATTGTAATCCTAACAATGTCAATTGCTCTGCTCTTCTAAGTTTGCAATATTTAGAATGAAATGCAGTTTTCAGACAAACATGGTGAGAAATGTACAGTCAGGTCCATAAATATTGGCACATCAACACAATTCTAACATTTTTGGCTCTATACACCACCACAATGGATTTGAAATGAAACAAACAAGATGTGCTTTAACTGCAGACTGTCAACTTTAATTTGAGGGTATTTACATCCAAATCAGGTGAACGGTGTAGGAATTACAACAGTTTGCATATGTGCCTCCCACTTCTTAAGGGACCAAAAGTAATGGGACAATTGGCTTCTCAGCTGTTCCATGGCCAGGTGTGTGTTATTCCCTCATTATCCCAATTACAATGAGCAGATAAAAGGCAGAGTTCATTTCAAGTGTGCTATTTGCATTTGGAATCTGTTGCTGTCAACTCTCAAGATGAGATCCAAAGAGCTGTCACTATCAGTGAAGCAAGCCATCATTAGGCTGAAAAAAACAAATCAAACCCATCAGAGAGATAGCAAAAACATTAGACGTGGCCAAAACAACTGTTTGGAACATTCTTAAAAAGAAGGAACGCACCGGTGAGCTCAGAAACACCAAAAGACCCGGAAGACCACGGAAAACAACTGTGGTGGATGACCGAAGAATTCTTTCCCTGGTAAAGAAAACACCCTTCACAACAGTTGGCCAGATCAAGAACACTCTCCAGGAGGTAGGTGTATGTGTGTCAAAGTCAGCAATCAAGAGAAGACTTCACCAGAGTGAATACAGAGGGTTCACCACAAGATGGAAACCATTGGTGAGCCTCAAAAACAGGAAGGCCAGATTAGAGTTTGCCAAACGACATCTAAAAAAGCCTTCACAGTTCTGGAACAACATCCTGTGGACAGATGAGACCGACATCAACTTGTACCAGAGTGATGGGAAGAGAAGAGTATGGAGAAGGAAAGGAACTGCTCATGATCCTAAGCATACCACCTCATCAGTGAAGCATGGTGGTGGTAGTGTCATGGCGTGGGCATGTATGGCTGCCAATGGAACTGGTTCTCTTGTATTTATTGATGATATGACTGCTGACAAAAGCAGCAGGATGAATTCTGAAGTGTTTCAGGCAATATTATCTGCTCCTATTCAGCCAAATGCTTCAGAGCTCATTGGACGCCGCTTCACAGTGCAGATGGACAATGACCCAAAGCATACTGCAAAAGCAACCAAAGAGTTTTTTAAGGGAAAGAAGTGGAATGTTCTGCAATGGCCAAGTCAATCACCTGAACTGAATCCGATTGAGCATGCATTTCACTTGCTGAAGACAAAACTGAAGGGAAAATGCCCCAAAGAACAAGCAGGAACTGAAGACAGTTGCAGTAGAGGCCTGGCAGAGCATCACCAGGGATGAAACCCAGCGTCTGGTGATGTCTATGCGTTCCAGACTTCAGGCTGTAATTGACTGCAAAGGATTTGCAACCAAGTATTAAAAAGTGAAAGTTTGATTTAGGATTAATATTCTGTCCCATTACTTTTGGTCCCTTAAGAAGTGGGAGGCACATATGAAAACTGTTTTTCACATATGAAAAAATTTGTTTCCTGCTGTAACCTGTGAAAGCACAGTTCAATCTTTTAGATTGTAAGCTCTTATGAGCAGGACCGTTCTATTTTAGCAACATCAATCCTGCCTTTTTTTTTTCCACCAAGATATTGAATGTAGCTACTTTTTGTTGATGTCCAAATAAATGTGGAATGTGTATTTGATCAATAAACATTTGGCCTATGTATTTTTTGGGGGGATTATTTCATGTTCTAGTTGAATGTAGTACAGTGGTTAAATGGTTAGCACTTCCACCTAGCAGCACTATGGTTGTTGGTTCAAATCCCAGCCACGGCACCTCCTGCCTGGAGTTTGCATGTTTTCCCTATGCCGGTGTTTCCTCCCACACTCTAAAGACATGCTGGTAGGTTAATTGGATCCTGTCAAAACTGGCCCTAGTATATGAATGTAAGTTAGGGCCCTTAGTATGCCCCTTGAAGGTTAAGGACTGATGTGAATTTATCACATCTATATGTAAAGCGCTGTGTAAATTGACAGCGCTATATAAGTATCTGAAATGTACTAGCACCCCTAACACTTATTTTTGCTAGCTATATAATATGCCCAAATCTTCCTTGTTAGAGCGCACATATGCAAATATGTCCAAAATAACAAACCAAAAGCCCCCTATTGCACCACAAGACCATGTTATGTACCAATGAATAGGTCGTGTTCAATGTGCAGCTAGCTATTCTTTTTCTACAATCCTCTTAACAGTAATAAATTGGGCCCCCAACTTATGTTGACTTTGGGCCTTTACTGGCAAATATCTATTCGCCAATGTCATATACACAGTATAGCTGCAAGCATACATTCACCAATGCCAAATCCACAATAGAACTGCAAACATATATTTGCGAATGTCATATACACAATGGAGCCGCATGTAAAATTGCTATGGTGCACAAATAAACGCCAAGACAGCTGTTGGAGGAGGCGCTAGAGCAGCTGTCATACCGGAAATATGCCATGATGTTTGCGGAAGGACGTTTGCACACACCCGGAAGTGGGAGTGTGAGTGGGTGGGAGTGTAGTTAGAGTTTAGTGGTAATTTGCAAATCAATTTTTTTAGTTTTGTGAATTGTTCTTTTGTGGATTTCTAAACCACATCTGGACATGGCGAGATCGCTGTTCTCCACCAAGGAGCTGATCCTCATTTGCCAGGGAAACATTACTAATAATTGTATTTTCAGTTGAAAATATGTCCAATTCCTAGATCCATTGAGGTACATAGCAGAGGTTTAAGGTTCTTCCTATCTATACAGGTGGCACAGACACAAGCATACACCCAGGGCCACTGTTAGATATCATGGGGCCCCGTACAGCATACCTGACAGCCCCCCACCACCAGAGAAAATATCCAAATTATATTTATAGTAAAAATACAATAAAAACATTATTAATGGACATAATCCCAACCATATTCCTGTGAAATCTAAATGATAAAACTGTACTGAGTTCATAAATAAAGCTGTGTGTGTAACTGAGGTGTAATTGAGGTTTTTTGGGGCTCATGGGTGCTGTGGGCCTGTAGAGTGGGAATCAGTGGTTTGTTTTTGTGGCTATCGCCGTTTGCAGGCAACCTATGTTACACTATGGAAATGCTGCAGGTCATAATTTGACAAGCATATGGGTGCAGGTGTACAGCCCTGAACACAGACAGTGAGCATTCAGGGCCACTTCCCCACGCT